TGCTTTTTACGAGCAATATAAGGAGCTTCTTTCCTGCATCTTTTTCCTATCCACTCATTAATTAAAAAGATAAATAAATTAAAAGACATCCAACAGAACCAAATACTGCTGGTGAATGCAGATATTAAATCTGCATTTGGGATTTTACCTTGGATATAGAATGGGAGATTGGGATTAAAAAAACAACAACAGAACGTGGAGTTTCCCAAAGATGCTTTTTCACGAAGCAACTGGACTTTCTTGTTTTTCTTTGCAGACGTTTCGCTTCTCATCCAAGAAGCTTCTTCAGCTCTGACTGGATGGTGGGGTCAAAGCTGAAGAAGCTTCTTGGATGAGAAGCAAAACGCCTGCAAAGAAAAAACAAGAAAGTCCAGCTGCCTCGTGAAAAAGCATCTTTGGGATAACTATGACCTGGATGGCTGAGAATCTCCATAGACAGAACTTGGAGATGGAACTGAGTTGGAATATTCCCATTGTAGCATTCTGTTTCATGGCATCTGTGTAATAATATGCACCCTGAAATATAACCTTGGGCATTTCGCACATGTATAATTTTTTAAAATTAAAAAACAACCTGTATTTTTCTCCTTCCCGTTTTCTAAGCACACAAGTATAAAAATATCCAAGTAGCAATTAGTGGATGAGAGAGAAAAAAAAAAAGGTAAGGGAGAAAGTGAAGGGTGCTACCAAAGTGGCCTTTATATGTTTCCTTTTTCCACTATTCATTTCATGTTTAGTGTTAAAGGCATGTCAGAAGGCAAAAAAAGGGTATCATAATCCTAGATAATAAATATAAGCATTGTAAAACTGACTATGGTGGTAAGGATTAAGATCAGGTGGGCAGATAAACTTCTGTCCCATCATCTTGAAAGCTCACAATTTAGCAAACAGAGAAGGAAGAGGAGACATCTCAGTCTCTGCTTCCCCTACCCCTCCATCCTGCCAAAGGATTAATAATCAATAAAGCATGGCTACCAAGGCAAGTTATCTGGCAGGCTCTGTCCTCTGTACCTCCAACCATTCCCACCAATAAACCCTGTAATGTCAGGGAAATTGATATACTTTACTCAAAAGCATATCTCCTTCTTCTTCTTGTGCCATATCCGTTATCGGACATTGGCGATCATGTTGGCGATCCTGTTTTTATTAGCAGCCGCACAAAAAAGTGCTGCTGAGTTTTGTCCAAACCAGTCCCTTAGATTTTGAAGCCATGATGTTCTTCTTCTGCCTGGACTTCGTTTGCCTTCAATCTTTCCCTGGAGGATTAAATGGAGTATGCCGTATTTTTCTGGGTGTCGCATCACATGTCCGAAATATTCTAATTTTCATTTTTTAATTGTTTTGATGATTTCCCTTGGCTTTCTCAGGCGGCTTATCACCTCCTCATTTCTGATCTTGTCAACCCAGCTTATACGTAACAGCCACCTGTAAATCCACATTTCACATGGAAATCATAATCACCCCAAAACACCCTGAAGAATAAAAGCAGCTAGGTGGCCAAAAAATAAATAAATCCCCAGAATACAGGGAGTTCTCAGCTTACAATCATTCATTTAATGACCATTCAAGATTACAACACACTTGGGGGAAAAAAGTAATTTATGATCAATCCTTGCATTTACAACTGTTGCAACATCCTCAGGGTCCCATGATCAAAATTCAGACACTTTGCAACTGGCATGTATTTACGACTGTTGCAATAGACACAGTATCATGTGATTCACCATTGACCACTTTCCTAGAGGGCTTGCAAGAAACAAAGTCAACGGGGGAATCCAGATTTTCTTAATTACTGCGGTGATTTGCTTAATGACCACAGCAAAAAAAAAAGTCATAAAATCGGGCATGACTCACTAAACAACCCCATGGCTTAGCGATAGAGGTTCCAATCCCAAATGTGGTTGCAAATCAAGAACTACCTGTACTGAATAAAAGTAATATCACAATGACATGATAAGAGTGTGGTGCATTTTATCCTTGAATTAAGATAAGCACTGGTGTAATTCGGCAAAGCAAACAACAATATTGCTTATTAATAAATGCTTCTGGAATAGTATGAGAAGAATCTATTAAAAAAGCATTTCTTACAGGGTTCACCAATGCATAAGTAGGGCTGTGTCATAAATAGTATGCACTTCCAATTATGGATGTAATCCATGTACTTCATTCTTGGGATGAAAATAGATTCTATTTATTCTAAATTAATCTGTAAGTAGAACCTCTGATTGTGTAGCTTTTCTGACAAGTACCTCCTCTACACAAGTGCTGTAGGAATTCTCTGTGCTATGAACACTCTTGACCCCTTTGTTGCGCTTAGGCTAGAAGATGAACTGAACACAGTAAAACAGAAGAGAGCTTCAATCCAGGCCACCCTAAAAAGCAGCAACAAGGAATCGGTGAAACCCACCCATCAAGGTATGTCAGTATTTTAACTGGTTTCTGTTAGAAATATATCATTGTGTAACGATACAGTGTTTATTGGGGTTATTATTTTATTATTTATTATTATTATTATTATTATTTCTTTTATGTTATGTTTTTATTTCCTGTAAGCTGCATTGAGTCACCGTGAGCGAGTAGGCGGCAATATAAATTTTCCAGATAAATAAATAAATAAACGAACAAACAAACAAATAAGTAAATACATAATGCTAAATAAGACTCAGGCGTTGCCCCAAAGTCTTCAACCTGACCAGACTGTGTGATGATATCCTTCTTATAAGGTCACTACTGGAGCAAAAATTCAGAACCTCAGACCTCCCGTGGAAGGATTGTTTCTTAAACTTGAGGTGAACATGAAAGAGTTTAGACACAGCAGTTATTCTGATGGATGAATACATATGTCAGTGGTGGCGAACCTATGGCACGGGTGCCAGAGACGGCACTCAGAGCCCTCTCTGTGGGCACATGCACCATCGCCCCAGTCCTAGGCCTTCAGCTGGGTTTTATAAAAACTTTTCGCTTTAGGCCTCCACTGCCATGTGAAAAAAAAGAAAAAGGTTCAATCAGTCAATTTCAATTTCTCGTGGGGAAAAAAAAGATCTTGCAAAATTGGAATGGATTGATTGAACTTTTTAGTCCCACCCAGTCTGCTGTTACCACTGCAGCCACGCCCACCAAATGGGCCACACCCACCCAATGGGCCACATCCACCCGGCACTCGACGATGCCTAAGTGGGTTTTGGGTTGCAGTTTGGGCACTCAATCTCTAAAAGGTTCACCATCACTGACATATGTGATTGAGAAATTCTGCTTAATGTGGAAATTTTATTTAATTTGGACCATACCAATGTTATTTGTCATTCTAGCAGCAATCAGAACCTTCACTGCAATCCAGGATGACTCTGAAGCGGACCATTTGCTCCATAAACTGAATAAAATTGATAATGATTTGGGGCAAATTAAGATGGACATTTTTAACCGCACAAGATCTCCACTAAATCACAGTGACCCTATAGAAGATGTTACTCAACGGATCAAACATCAGGAGGCAAGTGCCGAAGGAGTTTAACTGCTTACTTGTCTGTGATAACTCATACTCTCATATTTGGCTAGATACTACCCAAAGCTAAAATATTTATATACTGCATATGTCAAAAAAGAAAGGAGTGCATTTGCTGCTGGTGTAAAAAAACAAGCAAGAATTAATGCTCACTGACATGACTGAGTAATAAAGAACAGAGAGAGGCCTTATAATCCAATATTTTTAGTTGTTTGATTAAGATTCTATCAATTCCCCTACTATTTTGTAGAAAGGATCTTTTTCTGACTTTTCTGTTTTTGAATGCTCTAATCAAATGTGTGATTAGCTATCCTATTCATCAGTATCTGTAAATATTATTTTATAGGAAATATTTGCCTTAAACTCTCTTGAATGTGATCAGGAGCCTATTTCTACTAAGTTGGAAAAGTCAAAAGAAGTATAAAAGAAATACAAAAATCAGCATAATTACCCAGTACTAGAAGGACACACAAAACACAGAATACATTTTGTTTTGTCTTGAGTTGGGAATAAACTACTGCACTGTTGGACTATTTTGGATCAGCTATCATTTTGAAAAACAAAATCCAGAATATACTGATTGTTCCAGGTTTCAGACAAAACAAAATATGGAGGCATCCAGGATAGATATTATAAGATAAGACAAAGCTCCATCACCTTGCCATACATATAATCATTGCATTCCATTCAATTGAACTGATGGGGTTTTTTTTAAAAAAAAATCTTCATTTTATCAGGGAACAAACAGGAGAATTCAGATTATAGGAACAGAGAAAGAAGCTGCTCAGAAAGCATGTGAGACCTATCTTTCAAAGAAGCCTGCTGGTACCTCTGCCTCTCAAATTCCTGTGTTGCTGAACAACATCAAGAATAAATACAATGATGTTAAAGTACTCTCCAGGTTGTATGATGAAAAGTAAGTAACATCAATAGTATCTTTTGGCCAAGAATCTTTAGTGTTTCTGTACATTTTAGAGTATTACAATTTGGAAGATATAAGGGGAAGAATGTTTTGTTTTATTGTGCTACTGAAGAAAACAGTCTTAAGAGTGAAATTGTCTCCCGCTCCTCAGAGCCAAAGCAAGTATAAACTTGGAAACTCAGATAGAAAACACGGACAGGATCATCAGCACTTTGGAGGCCAAATTATCTCATGATGGTACCGTTCCAGCTTCACCTAATGCACTGCAAGATCGTGCTAATGAACTTCAGGTAAGAATTGTCTGAAGTCATGTGATGTTGCTCGTCCATCCAACCATCCAATCTCATACTCTTACACTAACAGAATTAGAGTTGATCAACTAAAAGCCCAACTAAAGATCAAACCATTAAGATAAACTTCTTTGTTTGCTTCCTTGTTTGTTTTTCACATTTTTGAACCATCCACCTCCAACAGAGAGGGACTCTGGATGGTATACAATAAAATTATGGACGAATATGTTAGGTATGCCACCTTAAGCTCCTGGAGGAAAGATGGGATAGAAATGTTCTTGTTCAATTTATATGGCTGCCCGCTCATCAATGAATAAATTGTAGTTAATGTTATTATTGCCCAACCTTGTTGTTAATCATTTTCTCCTTCAGTTATGTTCAAAATTAAAATTCTGTATTTACGTTTAAAGGACATTTAGAGCTCACCTAGCTCTCAAATTGTGCCTTTGTACAATGTATGTCACATACATTCATCAATGATTAAAATGGTATACTGGTCTCCTTCATACGTCTAATTTTGTAAAGAGTCATTTAATTAGATGAATAATATATTAAAAAGAGTAGAATTGGGAAATGGGGATACTGCAAAGAACTGTGTCCTAACACTTTTTTATTTACAGATGTACATTTGAGGCCCAGGAAAATCCCAAAGGTATTTCTGGCTGCAAAGTGCATTACAGTTCAGAAAAAAAAAATAAGTTGCCTTCACAAACAGAAACCCATCTAGATGGGAGAAGGAAGAAAAGGCTTTGCCAATCATCTTCCGATAAATGGCTGTTTTATGAGCAGCATAACTACCATCATTTACAGGAGACAAGCTCTCCTCCCTCTGCCCACTTGACAATCATTTAATGAGAACATGCATGATGTGCTCTCAATATTCCAAATATGTCCTTGGCTCAAAAAAAACAGGTTATTCCTGAGGCGAAGCATTTAGTTCCAGCATCCTAATTATAAAACAAGGGACATTATTATTTTCTCCCACAGAGCCTCTTCCTTATCTCTTTCTGCATTTCATTTTTTAATTCTTCCTTTAGCCTTAGCCAATTTTCTATGCCGTTTCTCCCCCCGCAACTGAATTTACAGCTGCTTTCTTTTCTTAAAATCCAGTTATTCGTCTATGCTCTCTTTCCTCTAATAAACCGATTGAAAGGGAAAGCAGATATGACACATTTGAAGATCAGATGATATGAGTAGTAAACAGTTGCACGAGTATGTATTTATGCCATTTGTAAAGTCTCCATGACACGTGTCTCTTGCCTTTTTAGAAACTGAAACGCGATTTAGTGAAACAGGACAATTCCTTGCTCAAGTTAAACCGAAGCCTGAAGGATGCAGAGCATAGCTGCAGTGCAGTGCAGAACAATTTTCAAGAATACTGTCCAGATCTGCCCAGGCAGAAAAAGGAGGTCCAGCTTATTAATGATCGGTATCATATTGTTGCTGACCAGCTGGATCAACGGTGAGAAACCGCGTTGACTCTAGTGGTGGAAATGATGAGTATGAATAGTCATCATTTCATAATTAGCTTTTGTGATACGATATATCTAAAGATCAGATATGGAAGTATGTTTCCCAGAATCTTCTTTTCCCCCAAGACCTCAATCAGCAAACGGAAATACTATAAGTTATAGCAAATTATTTCCCCCTTTCTGGAGCCAAAGAAAAATGTGCATGGCTAGCAATACGCAACATATTTGGTTTTCGGTCTTTCCCATCCTTTCAGTAACCCATGCGATGTTAGGAAAGGATTTGTCTGTTTTATTGCTCTACAGCTTCCTCCTTTTGGAAGCAAAATCTTAACAATAGAAACAAATACCCCAGCCTCTCATAGATGGACAAAAAGACGTTGTGGCTTGAAATCTTGTGCATCACTGCTGATGAAATCCAAAGATTCAATAGCAACTTATTCTCATAAATTCAAAGAGGAAGATTTTGGAAGCACAAGGCACATTTATCTGAAGCATATGTCTCAATTAGAAGGGAGGATAGCTGCTAAATTCACTTATAAACCTGGACCACCAATCTGCCCGTTTCATCAGGTTAGAAAGGGTGGGTGCAACAATCCAGGTCCTTTCCCTCAAATGTTCCCATCTAGTGGGACCCAAGAAACATGCCTTTTTAATAGCAGTCCCTGACTTTCAAGACACCTTTCGCTACAGCAGCGGTTCTCAACCTATGGGTCGCGACCCCATTTGGGGTCGATCGACCATTTCACGGGGGTCGCCAAGCAAGGCTGTCCGCCATTTTTTTCCCCTTTTCCGGTGGGTGCCTTACCTCCCTTGAGCTGGGCCAGCTGGTGGTCGGCCTGCTCCATCTCTGCCACTTGCCAGCTACGCCTCGGCCGGCGCAGGGGGCGGAACCACGCATGTGCGGCGCTCCCGGGCAGGGAATGTCCTCGACTTACGACCGGTTGGGTAGTCCTCGACTTACGACCGGTTTAGTCCTCGACGTACGACCGGTTTAGTCCTCGACGTACGACCGGTTGGGGGGTTGCGGCATTAAAAAGGTTGAGAACCACTGCGCTACAGGATCTGGGCTCCAGGTTCCAACCATTTTAGCCTTCCCAAAAGCTGTAAAGAGCTGGCAGTTCCCACAATCATTGGGCATATGGTGAAGTTGGAGCCTGGGTATGTATCACTGTATGTATTGGAGAAGGTCGGTTGAAGCACTAGGCTTTGGCTTTACGGGCAGTCCTCGACTTATGACCATAATAGAGCCCAAAATTTCTGTTGCTAAATGAGACATTTGTTAAGTGAATTTTGCCCCATTTTACGATCTTTCTTGCCACAGTTGTTAAGTGAATCATTGCAGTTGTTAAGTTACTAACATGGTTGTTAAGTGAATTTGTTTTCCCCATTGCTTGTGATCACATAATCCCAGCATACTGCAACCATCATAAATCATCATCTGAATTTTGATCACACGACCATACAATGCTCATGTATGACAAATGGTCATGACTCACTTTTTTCAATGCTATTGTAACTTCAAACAATCACTAAATGAACTGTTGTAAGTCAAGGACTACCTGTACTGTTCTTTGGTTTTTAATTCTTTTAAGCTACAAGGAGTCGTGTTCTTTAATATAGTGGCCTTGTAAGCCTTTTAAACAAAGAAACAAACAAATATATTGGGAACAGTTGCTTTTGTAAGATAAGCAGAAGATCTTAGCAATAGAGAACTGACAGTTTTTAGAAACTCCCTTTTCATATTCTCAAGAGATTTCAAAGCTGGATAGGAAATTTTTGCAGTTTTTGCTCTTTCTTGAATATTCATACATTGCAAACCATCAGCACTGCCATTAAATAATTTAAAACAAGAGTTATATACTTCTTCAAGATATTTCCAATAGGGAAATTGAAATAAAAATATCAACTGATTACAAAAAATAATCCGTTTTAAAAGCCTTTCTCCGTGTATTGTAAAGGCTGAGTTGATGAGTCTCCTACCTTTACTTTTCTGACTATTTCTGGACTTTATTTTTGTAAGATCTTTTCTTGAAGTCATCTAGAAGTTTGCTACTTAATCTCAGCCATCTTGCTGTGCAGGGAGAAGACACTTTGGGATACCAGCCTCATTTACCAGCAGTTCCAAAATGCCAATGAGAATTTGATATTCTGGCTCAACAATCTTCCAAAGCACAAGATCAAGACCACAGATGGACTGAGCCAGATTAACTACAAGCTTGAGGCCCAGAAGGTATGAGAACATTGCCCCGTGCTCAAATATAAGGATGGAAGGCACATTCCCATGAGGCATCTTTCATGGAGGAATTGATGAAAGAGAGAGATATGCCTGCGTGTAACATTCATATGTGCTTGTTATTTACTCAGTGACTGCAACAGTAAGTGATAATAGTAATAGCACTTAGATTTATATACCACTTCACAGTGCTTTACAGCCCTCTCTAAGCAGTTTACAGAGTCAGCATATGGCCCCCAATAATCTGAGTCCTCATTTTACCCACTGTGGAAGGATGGAAGGCTGAGTCAACGTTGAGCCGGTCAGAATCGAACTGCTGGCAATCAGCAGAGCTAGCCTGCAATACTGCATTCTAACCACTGCACCACCACAGCTCTTGTACTGTAATGTACATGTCTGAAAAATTCACAAGAGCATGGCTATTATAATATATATTACTTATAAAGCAATAACCATAGAATTATTGCTTAAAAATAGGCAAAAATCTAATTAAGCAATAATCTAACTTATCCTAACTCTCTGTCTCTACTTCTCTACAGAGGCTGGCAGATGAAATCCAGAGTAAAGAGTCTGACAAAAAATCAGTGATCAACTTGTCCCGGAATGTGCAGTCTGTCCTCAATGTATGTTTGCATGGTTCTAAAGTTTCCATTTCCAATTAGCAAACCCATCTATCCTCCTCCATTTATATGACTGGTTGGTATTTATTTAAAAAACAGGATTATGAACTTCAGGCAGGAAAATATCGATCGTCTCTGGATCCTACTTTGACTGCTTCATCTGCCAAGCGTCTCCGGGTGACTCCACTCCAAGAGAGCATTCAGGCTCAGGTAAATGACTAAGCCCAGAGCCTGGATTTATTTATAAAAAATACGCTCTTCCTAAATTGCCACTTCATGCTCAGGAAGCAGTTTTCATAATATCAAAGAAGCCCAATTCCTTATAAGTCACAACAATTTTGAAAAACTCTAAACAATTTAGAACATTCAATCTAATTTCTGGCAGTTTAAAATATACAGTTCAGTGAAATAATTTTGTAATATGCTATTTGAAAAAAGAAAAATGTTTGATAAATTAATGAGGGAAGAATTCAAAACTGGTGTAATTAAATAGGCAAAGTTTATCAGGGAAAATTGGTGGCTAAGAGAGTTAGAATTCCATGGTAATAATGTTGTATTTGCTGAAAAATCCTCTGCACCTACATTTTTCTGACACTCACATAAATCACATCTAACATATTCCCAACAAATAGCAGGAAGGCCAAGACATGAAAGATTGGTTGCAGTCTAAATATATTTTGTCATATACTTACCTGGCAGTAAATCCCTCTGAACGTGTTGAAATTTATTTCTGAATAAACATGTAAAGGGTTGCATTTTCTGATGTTTCAAAATAAGTAATTCCTCCACGTTGTAAGGATGCCAGACCATCGCATCCCTAAACAGCTCTTCTATGGTGAGCTGTCTCAAGGAAAGCGATCGCACGGGGGACAAAAAAAGCGATACAAAGACACGCTGAAAGCATCTCTCAAGTCCCTGGATATCGATACCATCTCTTGGGACTCTC